GTGCTGCAGGGACCCCCAGAGCAGCGCTGCATGGTAAGCCCGAGTGTAGCTCGGGGTTACCGCTTTTGGTATAGAAATTTTATCCCGAGCTACACTCGGGAACACCGCTAAGGAGGTTAAAAGAGCAGAAGGAGGAACTAGGAATCAAGCAGCAGTCTTTTAATGAATCTATTTTATAATCCAAGTCTCCCTTCTATTTTTTGTTTTGCTGTGCAACAGACTTGATAAATGTTCCCCATATCAATAACATTTGTTTTCACGTTTTTGTTGATTAGTGTTTGAAAGCCAAACCCTATATGAAATAGACCAACTATTGCAAGCTATTGAAATATACATTTCTTTGCCAAGCATGATACATTTCTGGATCCACAATTATATACGCAAAGAAATACACATGCAAACTAATACAAATATTCTCTTTAGGATGCAGTAGATGCCATATAATGTAGAAGATACAGCTTGTGATTTAGAAGAATGATGAATTCCTGTGTAGTTTGCTAATAAAGCTGGGTATATACTAGTAGAATCTCGTTCAAATTTTTAGTTTTAAGAACGTTTGTTCGATTTCCTAATCTTTAGTGGGGTCAAATGACATTGACACTGATTAAAGTGAACTTTTTGCTTTTCCATGCACAGGCAAAAAACTGCTTTGTTTTCGCCTCTGATTTGTAATTCCACAGAAGCACCATAATCCTGAGATTATTTGTTATGGCCTCTGATACAGAAATTAATTTCAGCATTGTTAAAGTTGAATTTCAGGCACCACCTAACTAATCATAGCAGCACTCCCTCCCATCTCCTAACACGTATTCTGACTAACCTGTTAAGAAAGATCTGTATACTTAGCTACTTTCAGGCTGCTCTGGTAATCTATGATGATAAAATGTCCATGTCTAAATGTTTCAAAATTAAAGAGAAACATTTACTGATTTGCCATTGATTCTTATGAAAGACCTACCACCATCAGGGGTCAGATATCCAATGACCTGTAAATAAAGATTTTAGCCTGATTTGCACTCACTCACTTCCAAAATCTGACTGGCAGTTGTTGACGAAATAAAACAGCAGGGGGAATTTTACTAAAAGCCAGACTACAGGACTTTTTGTAAGCTTTTCCCATTGTTTCATTTATAAGAGGTAAAATATACCAATTTGGTGCAACTCTGCAAAGAAACCAGTCAGCTTCCAGGTTTTATTTCAAAATGTTTGACCATAGGGCATATCGGGCCTAAATGAAGCGGCCTGTTGACGACCGAGTCGCACAGTGGGAGGTAAGCAGTGACCGCAGTCTGGACAGGGCTAACACAAACTGCAGCCACTGCTCAAAGCAGGGCCGACAGGAGGAGTGACAGAGACGACTCCAGCGGCAAGCAGGAAGCATCGCAGAGGACACACAGACACCTTACCTGGCCATCCGCTGCACACACAGCCACACTGAAGGGACAACGGCAGCCTCTCTCCTTCACCAGTGGGCACACTGTGACAGCCAAACAATCCCTGTAGCAGTGGTAGATTGGGCTGTCTTTGCTGGAGGGGGCTGTCTCTTTTCTGGATCCCAATCCAGCAAAGACAGCCCAGTCCAAGAAGGGACATCCCCATGCAACAAAGACATCCCCATCCAGCAAAGAGACATCCTTTCTGTTTGCGGACTGGGATGTCTCTTTGTGGATTGTCACATAGATCTGTATCTGGACTTAAATTATGCATAAACCTAATCTCTCTAAAATGTAAGCCTTCACATTTTAGTGTGTGTTTTGTGTTATACTTTTTTTTTTAACAGACCCTATAATCCCTGTTCTGAGCATTATAGGGCTTAAAGAGGTGGGGGGGGAGAAACAGCAGTACACTGATCTTCCCAATGATTAGCTGTGCAGAGAGGTATAATCATCGGAGAACAGGCAGAAAACTGACCACTGGTCAGTTTGAAATGGGAAAGCAGAGGGACTGGCAGGATCACCAGGTATTTCACACAACAAGAAACACAAAGAGAACACAATACTTTTTAACACAGTTACAATGGTACTACAGAGACATATCAAGAATATGAAATGTTGGGGTGACATTCTTTAATGTTGTTACAACGGTTTTCAATCTTTTTTTAAATCTGCAGCTTTCATTAAAATAATACTTTGGTGATTCTGCCATGAAGTTCCTTTTTCAGGAACTTTTTGTTATGGGGTGACAACTGTCTCCCACTTGTGCTTCTGTATTGTTACCCTGTCACAATTGCCCCTAGTGGAAGCTACAAGTTGCCATGCTCAAACATTGTGCTGCCGTGATCACAGTTTGTCACTAACGGTAAGCCAGTCCAGAGCAATGCTTTGCTTGTAGACATTAAATGGCTAAAGGAGACCAGCAATAGTGGAAAAATAAGGTGAAAACGGTGTCTTAAGAAAAAAGAACACGGGAACTTTTTAGTGCACAGTGCTTCAGCAAACTAAATCTGATCCAGTTAAGGTCCTGGCAGTAAGAGATTTAGTACATACCACATTTCATCTGATAAACATCATCCTGAAATTCAAGGTGGTGTGTTGTGAGAAGGAATGTTTTTCGGAAAAATCTAATCTGTCTTTTTCTATTCTTCAGGCTTATGAATGGTTTGCACCTTGTGTTGAACCCTCTGTATTTGCTCTCGAGAAGAAGTCTTCTATTGATTGTAGATTGAAGAGTGTCCTGCACTTGTCTGGATGTTGTGAATGGGTTTTTATTTAGAATAGAGAGGATTCTGCGATCATCTACCACTGTTGTCTTCTGTGGACATCCATGCCTTTTTATGTTGCTGAGCTCACCAGTGCGTTCTTCTTTATTCAGAATGTACCAAACTGTTGATTTGGCCACTCCTAATGTTGCTGCTATCTCTCTGATGGATTTGTTTAGTTTTTGAAGCCTTACAATGGCCTGTTTCACTTGCATGGACAGCTCCTTTGAACGCATGATGTAGGTTCACAACAATAGATTCCAAATGCAAATACCACACTTAGAATCAAATCCCAACCTGTTACCTGCTTCATTGATGAAGAAAAGAACGAAGGAGTAGCCCACACCAGGCTATGAAACAGCTTTTGATTCAGCTGTCCAATTACTTTTGGTCCCTTGAAAAAAAGGGGAGATGGCTACTCTTAGCTGTAATTCCTAAATCCTTCCTCCAATTTGGATGTACATACACTCAAATTAAACCTGAGAGTGTGCACTTTCAGCCCATATCCATTATATAACTATAGCTTGAATGTGTTTTGGTAAATACCTGAAAAAAAAAAAAACTGGTTCCTACTGGATTGTTACCTTGGCAATCTAACTTGTCATACAGCCTCAAAAGGCTTTCTGATAGAAGGGGAGTGTTCATGTTTTTTGCCAATGAACTGTCCCTGAATAGACACATTGTTATCATGTGAGAATTTGCTATCAAGGCACTGAGAGATGGGCACTTCCTGCAGCCTATATGAGATGACATAATACAAGGAAAAAGATACATGTTCTTATCTACATCTATCGGTAAGGTGGTGTACTAAAGAAGAATGGTATAACTTGAAATAGGATTTTAATGTAACTGATCTTTTAAAAAGTTGTGCATATCAAAAGCGACTCTTTTGGAACTGTTTAAACTGACACTAAACGGTGTCTTTATTTTCCACAAATAGTCCATACACATCCACTACTTAATGGCCCTGTAATCTAATTAATGAAACTGTTTCTTACTGTGTCTTTCTGCCTTGGAATGTCCTTAATGGGCCCTGAAGCCTCTCCTTTTTTTCTCCCCTCACTTCGATTTGTTCAAAATCAGCAGTGCACTTTAATTGTGGTCATGTGCACTGCTCTGTTCACCTTACAAATCCCACAGACCATAGACGGATCGAAAACCGCACATTTTTTAGAACGAAAAATCAGTCGTTCCTTTAACCGATGTTACCACCAATGATTACAAAAATTGGCTGACCAAGTCATAAAGTTCACCCCATATAACAGCCAAAACTTCTGTTCCTTCCAGGTCACGGCTCATGCGCATATTATTTTTCGTTAAAACGATCATACGATTTGGCCATCATTGCCGCCAAAATCGGTCGTTTTCCACGAATTGTCCAACATGATCGATAATCCGAAAGTGCAAAAAACCCAAAAACCGGCTGACCAATTAACCCACTAACAGTGCGAAAGTCGGCCGATTAATGTTTCGGACGAAAAATCAGCCGATTTTCGAACCGTCTATGGCCGGCATAAGTCCTCAGTCCATCTTGGGAGTGAGCAAAAAAGGGTGGCCATGTTTCTGCATACAATGGGACCATGGAGAACAACCACCCCCTAACAGGAACGTGCATCACAGCAGCAAAAATAAAAAGAGAAATTTGTAGATTTTGCTGAGCACGAAAAAAAGTAATCTTTTTGAGTTAAAGAATGCAAACTTTTTAAAGTTTAGTGTCACTTTAATACTCCATAAGCAAATGCTTTTATGACATACTGGGGCTTCAGACAAGTGAATGCAGCTTTGGTTTATGTACTCTATGGTGAGAGGCACATGGGACAGTACAAATATCACATGGTCATGGTGACCAAAAAGACTCCTGTTTTGAATTTTTCCAGATTGTAAGATGAAAACTTTGATCACTATTGCCAACAACCCCTCCTTTTTTTTCCTTGCTATATATATATATATATATATATATATATATATAAAATCTATCCCTTCTGAAATCTATATAATGCAGAAAAAACTCTGACTGTGAACAAGGTGCGCCATCATGATGTTATTGATGGGATGTTTGCAGACTTGTGTGTCTATTGTCAATTTGTATATTAGTTGCACTCCCTGTGAAGTCAAGTAGGCATAAGTATTTCTTGGTTTCTTACTGCAGTTTCTTGCATTTAGGATTTCTTTTTTTAAATCCATTTTTTATTTTTTTCCATTTCTGTCTAACCTACAGATATCAATTACCTCTCCAATTTCATTTCTCTTTTTGATGGATTGATAATCTTATCTGTTTATCAGGCAATTTCAGTGACCAGTCATGCCGGAGCACAGCGATGCCAGCCTGCCTCCAGAAGAAAGACTACAGGTTTTGGTACAGAAGGGGACATCTGTGGAAGTGAATGATGACATTCCACTGAAGCGCTACTACCGATCTGGGGTAGAATTGATCCGCATGGCCAATGTGTACACAGGCGAAGGCAATACAGAACATGCTTTTATCCTGTACAACAAATACATCACGTAAGTGTAGCTTTCTGCTTGCTTATACCCAGCGATGTGACTGGCCTCAGGTGACACACAGAGATCAAACAAATCCACCTACATAAGTTGCTGTGTATCTGCAGTCATTTCTTCTGTAGATCGTTGTTAAAAACACAAAAAGGAAATGATTTCTCCTTAGCTGTATCAGCAGGGGGCAGGGATCTGAAGTCTTCAGAGAGCTGACAGCTCTGAGCCCTGATTGGAGGGATGGCACACCTCTACCTCAGGGTGGTAAAACCTCATAGTTAGGTGTTTTTACCACCCCTGCCCCAACCACACCCCCTCTAGCTGCAGTGGTCAGGGGTGTACACGTGTTGCAGTTAGAGGGTTGAGACAAACCATTTACAACTGATAGGTGCTTACAATGATCAGTTGTTATTTATATAAAAACTTTATATCAAAAGGAGCAAAAATGTTGCTGTAACTGCTGGAAAGTGTTAGCTGGACATTGATCTCAATTTGTTAGTGTATTAGCTTCAAATCTGCTAGTGCATCTAACACTCCCCTCCCCCCAGATTAACAATTCTGCCGTCCAAAGATGCCCCTGTGCTCCTTTAGCCAGAGTCGGAACACTTTAATACAGGAAGTGTTACTGGCCTGATCACCAGGTGAAAACAGAGGGGAAAAAAAAAAGAAAACTAATGCAATCACATCTAAGGATTTGGTAAGCATTATTATTTGGTAAATAATAATGAATGTTTATTTAAAGTAGAACTATATTCAAAACTTTTTCTTTTTTAATTTGTATAGAGTAAGGGCGGGTTATAACCCCTTTCAGTTTAGTTTTTGCCGTCTGTGTCCCGTTGGGGAGATTTGCTTTCACTTTCTGTACCATAGCCAAAAACAGGAAGTAAGAGGAAATAACTGCAAATTAAGGGAATTCATTAGGGGACCCCCAGGTCACCAGAACTAGTGTCTCCATTGGAAAATTTCCCCTCTATTACCTTTCTAGGGAAAACCCAAAATTTGGGGTTTTCTTTTTACTTTCACTGATAATCGTAAACAGGACAAACAGGGTGAACTACCCTAGCAGGAGCACAGACATCAATAAAAACGAACCGGTGTTTTAATCCATCTCCACTCTGTCCAAAACTAAAATAAAGGTTTTGCCTTCAATTATACTTTAATGATGTCTGTCCTCAAGTGTGGTAAATAGTGGTGTCACATCATTTTCAGCAAGAAGGAATGAATCTAAAATGTAAAAATCATCCCTTGTGTGAACTATGGTTCTTTCAAGTTTAAATGACCATTGCATTTTAAACCTATATTTAGGTTCAGTCTGTGATTTCTGCAGTCTGTGATTAGGTCTTTCATTTCATTTGTCTTCAGCAATTTGTTACTTGCCAATTGTCTTCTGTAATACATTCCTTCTCTGTAAGATACATTGAAGAGATGTTGTCTTATCTATTCCATGACTGAACACGAACAACATAGGTGCATGTTTTTGTCAGCATTAATGGCGTTCTTTTATGCCTATTTCAATACCAATATAAACTCCTTTTGGATTAAAAAAAACGTTTAAAGGTTATTTTAGTTATTTATGGCTTTGTCAGTGTCGTGAGGTGCGTGTGTTTTTTTTTTTTTTTTTTTTTTTTTTTGTTTTCTGGGTTTTTTTGGTTTTTTTTGGAACCAGATATTTTTTTTTTTTTTTGGGTGTATGTGGTGTGTGCTCAAAGTTCAGGACCCCCAATTAGCTATTTCTGATGGCCTATGACATCTAGACAACCTCTGGTCCCTTTTTTTTCACCTCTTTATTAATTTAAATACTTTGGTTAATGGTGGGCTTTCATGCTTAACCTTAGGTGGGCCAAAAGTGTATATTTTTTTTATTTTTTTTTTTTACATTAACACACAAAAGGATATTATTAGAATAATCATATTGACATACAAAAAAAAAACTACAACACAAACATGCTGGCAGAAGATGGGAGACGTGTGCAAATACGCATCATAAGGAATATTTCCAGGATTTATACAAATCATGTTATCACCTACCAGGTCATTGCTCCTACAATTTTAGGGTGTGCCTGAGATGTATCACATCTCAGGCACTCAGTATAACTAGAGCCCTGGTGTGATACATATATTGAGCCCTACATGAGTCGGCAGTAGAGACAGCCTACAAATTGTTACTGCTCCATATGGACAGTGGTTTCCGTGGCAGGAGGTATCCACCATTAAGGCAGACAGTAAAGAGAAGAGTGAATATGGGGAAGAGGAGAGGGAAATGCGATTGCCGAACTTCAGATTGTCAGATCCTGAGCTCTTTTCCATGCAGACCAGATCTAATGGAATTGTTTAGGACAGTTGCGGCATAGATATGCGAGTTTATGTAATGTAAGCACGTTGCTATTAGGGTACGCCATTGGGCTATCGAAGGAGGATGTGACACTTTCCACTTAAGGAGGATAGCTTTTCTGGCATAATAAAAGGCATAAAACAAATAGTTTAGTATGGTGTGTGGTGTCACATATCCCCAGTAACAGCATTAGTGGATCCATAGGTATGGTCAGGCCACTTACTGCACCCACTTCAGATGCTGCCATCCCCCAGAAAAATTTGTAGTTTAGGGCAGGCCCAAACCATGTGTATGAATGTGCCCACCGAGGCCTGGCACTTGGGGCAGATAAGATCTTCTGTAGCGTAAATAGAAGATGGTCTGGTCTCTGGGGGGAGTAATACACTCTATGAAGGAATTTTAGTTGAATCCATCTTTCCCTTGCTGATATCATGAGAGGGAGATATTGCTGAGTGCCCTCTTCCCAGTCCCCGTCGGTTAGGATGGGTATATCCCCATACCAGATATCATACAAGCAGGATACTGTAGAAGTGTCAGTTTGGGAAATACAGCGGTAGAGGGCCAATAGCAGTTTGTCTAGTTGTTCAGTGGACAAGAGTGATTCCACTTAATGTGATATCAAATGCAGGGGAAAGGTGAATTGGGCTTTGGCAGCGTGTCTGAGCTGTAAGTAGCGAAAGAGCATTTTATTGGGCAACTGGTAAATAGCTTTAAGTCCATCAAAGGATAATAAGTAGCCCCCTGAGATTATGTCCTGGAGTGTTTTAACTCCATATTGCGCCCAGATAATTGGGTCCTGGATAGAGTGCAAATGTGGTAGTCTGGGATTAACCCATAATGGAGTGTGTGAAGACCAGGTCCTGGAAACCCCAATGTAAGCCTCCAGTTGCTTCCACACACTTAGTGTTACTAAACCCAGGATCCTGCATTCACTAGATCTGGTCTCCAACAGTACACAGAACATGGAATTGCAATTAGTTTAGTCAATATAAACTGCTAAATACCATTTCTCATCAGCAGTTAAAGCAGTCTTGTGACTTCTGTCAGTGTTCAGCAGAGCACCAGTTAAAGCTTGTAGGAGGAGTTTATTCTTGGAGGATGCAGAACCTCTGACCCTTTATGGGCAGTACTGATTGGCCTTGTGCTGATCACCTGCACTCTCCCAAGAAAAAAAAAAACCCTCTAGCAATACACACCAAATTGAGCATGTGCAGTGTCTCCACATGATATGTCTTATTAGACAATAAGAGAGGGACACTGGAAGAAGGGGAGGATCAGAGAAGTCAGGGTCAAACATCCTGCAGAGGATTAACCCCTTAGGTTCCACAGTGAGTATAGCATGCTTTACTGTGTATACAGGCTGATTTTACTGTTGTGGGTTTAGTAACACTTTTAAGATGGTCTTCATGGGTTCATTGTCTCCCAAAAGTATATTTAAAGGTTAAAATGTAATGTGTGTTTTTAGGTAGGGGTTAGAACCTCAGTAAAGTGTTGTTTTTGTTATTCTGTGTCACCGCTGTTTAGATTCACCCATCAAATTGTCCTGGTGACCACTTACCAAAGTGAGGGGAAATCCAATATTGTATAGTTCTCACCACAGCAAGAGGTCAGGGTAAATCCTTCAAATGGGACACTTTCTAAGATAGTTGGAGGGAATTCCTCTCATTTACTTTTAAATCTCCAGAACAGAAAATGAAGGGAAATGTCCTCAGTAGGACACAGGTATCAAAAAAATTACTTGATGGGAATTTTATCCATTTGCTATTCTATCTAAAACGAAAAAGTTTTTTGGCTGTATACACACTTTTCACTTTGCTCTGCTTAGTGTTTGGAAGATGCTCAGTGATTAAAATCTGAATCTAATCTAAATAGTTTTCTTCTTTTTCTGTAGGCTGTTTATAGAAAAGCTTCCTAAGCATCGAGATTACAAAACTGCCAATGCTATAGAAAAGAAGGAAACGTTAAAGGTGAGTGGATCTGGGTGAAGACATTGCTCATTTACTGCATTTAGTAGAATGGAACTTAATGTATCCTTTCTCTTGTAGAAACTAAAAGAAGTAGCTTTCCCAAAGGCAGAGGAGCTCAAGAAAGAGCTGCACAAGCGATACGGTAAAGAATATGCAGAGTTCTTGGAGAGAAAGGTGAGTTACAGAATACATATTCTTGGATGGTTCCCATGGTAAGGTGAATAGCAGCTGATGGTGTTTGGCGGTGTTCATCTAGAAATGTGAGGAAGAGGAGTGTGCACGCCGGTCAGCTCTGCAGAAGCAGCTAGAAACTGAGAGGGAAAGGGTGGCGCTCATGAGAAAGCAGCAAGAACAGCAGGAGCAGTTCCAGCCTTTGAGGAGATGATCCGAAAGAAAGAACTGGAGAATGAGAGGCTTCGCATCCTACATCAGTTCTCAACGGACACCTCGGGGTCAAAGATGTCTGGAGGACCCCTCATCCCAGGTGTTAATGAGCCCCCTGCCATTGGACGGCTCCCCACAAATGATACTGTCCTACCACCACCACCTGTTGTAGACAGGACTTTGAAGCCAGCAAGTCTTCATGAAGGCTGTAAGTAAGAAATACTTTGTTTTATATCACAGTGTATAAAAATTGGAGGAAAGGTTTAACAGAGGTGTTTTTAACATTTTAAAACTTCCAGTGGAAATATATTTTCTCTGCGGCCGTGCCCTGCCCACAGAGTTCTGTGAATGAATGAACTACAAGTCCCTACAGCTGCTTGTAGTTCTCAATGAATTACCACAGCACTGTGGAGCACCGTGGTAGCTCACTGATTCTTCCTGTCAGTATATCTGCTTGCCTGTACATCCCGTACAGGCAAGCGGATATACTGACAGGTCTGCAGGAGACCTGGATGTCACCAGCGATCTACTAATCGCTGGTGAAATTCTTTACAGGCTCCTGCAACAAAAAATAAATGCACACTTTTTTTTTTCTTTACCTGCAAAAAAATGTGCATTATTTTTTGTCAAAAGGTGACCCTATCCTTTAAGGCACAGCATAATAAACCCTAATGTGCATGCATTAACGCACTGCAACATTGTGATTCCAGGCTGAGGCTCCCCACCCACACCTAGTGACTGCACAGTAAAAGAAGAAGCAACACACTGAGACCATACTCCTCCTATTGGCATTCTCCTTGTACTGCATCACAAGCACCAAGTTATTTTCTCCTTGTGTTGCTTCTCACTCACTGATTCAGGGTTCTGCTGTACAAGACCTGCAAGAGGCCGATAACAAGTCAAATTCAGGTAAATGAGACTGCTTGCATTTAACAAAATTACATTTAATGATGTATTAAAGCTGATCTCCAGGCAGATACAGAGATGTTGAATTCCTATCGGCCGATGCCCGAGACATGTAGTTCGAGGGCGCCGGGCAGGGATTTTTTTTTTTTTTTTTTTTTTTTTACCTTCAGCCCTGCTGCGGGCAAGCAGCAGGGCTCACCTGCACCTGTCAGGTGGAGACATTGGGGTGGCAGCGCTGCCGACCCAAATGCTTCCACACAGTGCCAGCTTGTGTCTCCCGGGCTCCGTTTACCCATCTGCAGGCCCGGGAGCTCATCGCCGGCGACTAGAGGGGAGGAAGGAGAGCAGACACGTCCTCTCCCTTCCCCTTGTCCTGACCCGGAAGTAATGTTATGTCACTTCCCGGTCCCCGTTGAGAGATTCCCGCCAATTGAGGCTGGGAAAGAATGCATTACATTCAGGCTAGCAGAGGGGAGACATCCAGGCTCTTTTAGACCTTGAATGTCTCAATAAAGAGAACCTGTCACCAAAAAAATAATCACATATTGTCCCCTATGTGATGAAGAAAAAAGTTTTTTTATTTTTTTAATTGTAAAAAATGAAAGTTACACCCAAGCACATAACATTCTTCCCCCCACATATACGCACGTACAAACGTGTAAAAGCACATGCTGGGGCGCTTACGTATGAAAATGTCGATTGCAATACACGTTATATATCATTGTGCGCGCCAAAATGAGAGCAATAATTCTAGCACCAGACATCCTCCATAACACTATACCTAGAAGGATCTGTGAAAGTGTCACGTATCGAAAATATAGGGTACTGAAGTTCGTTGCCATTTTGCTAGTGCATGCAAATTTAAGGTTTGACAAGTTGGATATCTATTTACTCGCTGCAACCTCATCTTTTATATTTTACAAAAAAATAGGGTAATTTATTGCTTTTCTTTATGCCCTAAAATTAACTAACTTGTGTTTGTTACTGGGATTTTGTGGTAATATAACTACCACAATTTTATTCTCTAGGGTTTCTGATTTCAGAAAATATATCATGTTTGGGGGTTTTGTGTAATCTTCAGGCCTATAATGATTTTTTTGTTAATCTTGTGAAAAAAATGCAAAAAACGTCTCTGGGAGAGAAAGGGATAAAGGATAAGCCCTACACTCCCCCTTCCTAACAAGCACCCAATCAGTGCTCATTACACTGCAAGGTCTCTCTGCTCCCTGTTAGTCCCCGCGGTGCTGGAGACAGGTAGGCAGGGAGGGGAGGAAGAGATAAACAGCGCAATGTTAAAAATATTAAACCATTAAGTCGCCATAAAACCCCTTTTGTTTTTAAAACATTCCTAATATCGCCTCTGATTTTGGCTAAAAAAAAAAATAATTTTTTTTTATCTGGACAAGGAGATTGTCATGAGGGACAAGTAGATTGGGACACTGATTTAGTCCATGGACAAATAGTTTTTTCAAACATTTCCACACCCCTGAGATATAAAAAACACAAATTAATGCACCTTTGTAAACATGAATACATTATTAAATGTGGTTTTAAATGCCAGCAGGGTATGTACATGAATTTGACCTGGCATTTACTGCTTGCAGTTCTGTTCAGCAGAGCTAGAATGTTATCGGAAGAAGCAGGAGAAGGGACCAATCTGTTCATGTGCTGACTATTAGTGCATGCTATTAGGAGGAGAAAGCAGAGTGCCAGATGAGCTAATCACTGTGCTGCTTCTGCTGTCACTGTCCATTCACAGGCTGTGGCAGGTCCAGGATGACCTGGGCTCAGAGGATGTGGATTGAATATTGCTGGCCATTAGACTATTTTCATCCTGGTATGAAAAAGGAGTACTGTGGGGTAGAGCTCTGGATTGAAAGGGGATAGTGCAACAAAAGCTGTATTTGTTGTCTTTTAACGGGCTAATATTTTTATCTTGTTTTTGGGTGGAGATATGCTTTAATGAATACAGAGCTGTATTGATTTTATCTTTTTATCTTTGCCTAATGTTCAGATTTAAGAAGAGCGGGAGCATAAAAATTTAATTTGTGTGCCCTCAATTTTGGGGTTCTTTGTTTTTTGCAGCTGCTGGCACAGATGGACTGCGCCATGTCATGATTCCTGAAGATGTATGTGTGACGTTTCTGAGACTGGCAGAGCTGAACACACAGAAAGCAGTGGAGACCTGTGGCATCCTGTGTGGGAAGCTGGTATGATTGTGATGTCACTGTCTTGCCTCAATTAAATTATGTTATGCTCTTCAATTATACATAACAGGACACAGGGGACTTAGACTTGAGGTATGTTGCCAACTTCAGTTTTGTACTAGTGTTTTTAGGTGACAGGTGTGCCTCCCTGTGTTTCTCTGAAAAAACTTTCATTGACTTTGCTCCTGTATAACCGACTCCATTCCATATACTCTTGGTCGGTTGTGTCTGGATGCATCGCTACAACCAGCAGACCAAGGGGGGGGACTATGTCTGAACCTGCATTCTAGAGTGGAGGCAGACTGTAATGTTGGCACTGGAACCTTTGGTCCTTTATCTCTGGTGTACAATGTATCCAGGGTGCTCTACAGGTCCGGTGCTCTACAGATCCAGGACAGTGATCACCCGGGAGGGGAGTTGAGTCGTTGAAAACCCTTTGGGGCACGCCCACCATCATGGGTTAAGATTGGGCCTGCCGGCTCTGCTACTAAGGACTGGTGGGTACCTATGTGTTCTGAGAGAGCAATGCGGCAGTTCCCCCTGAAAGTGTTCCCTGTGTAGCGGATCGTTTTCTGGCAAGTTTACAGCAGTGGTGGTACAACAAAGGGCAGTCCAGCAAGGTGTGATGATGTCTGCGCAAGTGCAGGCTCCATTTTCCCTCAGTCCTTGGGCATAGTACATGCGCTTTGCAGCACCTGAGCGACAAAGCATGGGGGTACCAGGCTGCAACTGCACAAACTGTTTGCCTATTCAGCATCTGCCTACAGCCACGCACAGCAGAAATGCTGCTTTTTCATCCAAGCACCGCAAGTATTGGGATTTTTTTTTGGGGGGGGAGGAGGTGACAGCCACATAGGCATTTTGGCTTAGGCCAACACTCTCCTTTCACCTGGGTGGCTGCTTCCCTCTGGGATTCAGAGGCCTGTTTAAACCTCAACAAGCCATGGCCTCGCAAAGGCAGTGAGCTGTGGGGGAGGATGATGGGCTGGGCCCGCAATTCCCTTTACTAGGTAGGGAGAACCCCCTACGTAGTTCTCCTTGCAGTATAGATCCTAAAGGTCGGATTAGTTCTGAATTCCTGTCCTTTTCTGGTTTTTTTTTTTTTGACTGTTTCAGGGGCACAATCCTTCACATCCTTTGCATCAAGGGAGCAATTTTTTTCAGCCATAACTGGACTGCGTGATCAGCTCTCGAGGGTTCTCACTGACCTGGAATACAATTGTTGGAATAAGCCTTCCCCCTTCTCCTTTAGGAAAGTTGAGGCGCTGGAGGAAATTCCTCGGAAAGCAGAAGTTGCTGGGAATCGGGAATCCTGTGGACAAGTTTCCCCAGGAGGAATCTCAGGGTCCGGGGCTATCTCGGACACAGGAGACCACGGTGGGCTTCCCTGCAAATGTGGTGCACACTAACCTTAAGTTGCTGTTGTCAGACTACTCTTCCCTCAAAAGTCATGGGGAATTTTTGGTGACCATAAGGACCCAAAACCAAAGTCCATTTTCAGTGCAGTGATAAATGCCCTAGTGACTCGTTGGAATCCGTTTTTCTCTGCTTTATGCCTTTCCTACACTTCAGCTTCTTCCTGGTCTGTTGTGCAGGATAAACCTGGAGGGCATTCTGGTGATACTGATAGCACCCGCTTGGCCAAGAAGAATATGGTATGCAGACATTGTGGATCTCTTGGCAGACAAGCTGTGGCCTCTTCTAGATCGCCCAAATTTTGCTGTCATGGGATCCAATATTTTTGGTTTATAAGAGAGGCTATGGGGTAGAGTGGCAAGATGGAAGCCTTTTCTTCCAAAGAAAAACATCCAAGCCTGGCTAAATTTTTCAAAAACACATCTGAAGTCTCCCACAAGCATGTGGGAAGTGTGTTATGGTCTGATGAAACCAAGGTTGAACTTTTTGACCATAATTCCAAAAGATATGTTTGGCGCAAATACAACACTGCACATCACCAAAAGAATACCATACCCACAGTGAAGCATGGTGGTGGCAGCATCATGCTTTGAGGCTATTCTCCTTCAGCTGGAACTGGGGCCTTAGTCAAGGTAGAGGGAATTCTGAACAGTTCCAAATACTAGTCAATCTATCGGTGCAATTGATAGCCCCTGCGTGGGCGTGTTTTGTTGCCTCTGTTTTATACTGTTTAAAATTAATAAAAACCATTGAAATACAAATACTAGTCAATATTGCCACAAACCCTTCAGGCTTCTGCTAGAAAGCTGAACAAGCATACATCCAAATCAACAAAGGAATGGAAGAAGATTAAAGTTTTGGAATGGCCCAGCAAGAGCCCAGACCTGAATCTGCTAGAATGTGTGTGTGTGTGTTTGACTACACATGACTAATTAGTATTAACTGCAGGGCAACACAATTTCCTTTCTTATAATATTTTATTACCTATGAACAACCATATATAGCGATTGCAGCAGCTGGGGTTTAATTATTTACAATATTTGGCAGCGCACAAATTCGTTTTTGTTTTAGGATTTTTGGTTTACCTGTAAAATCCTCATCGCAGATACATTACAGGAGACCTAGATCCCTCCCCAAGTGTCTATTCCACTTTACTTGCTACCTGTGGCTTGGCTGAGCTGGGAGGGGTTATGCCTGGTCAGGGATTCATGGCTCTTTTTCTTTCTTTTTTTTTTTTTTTTTTTTTCTGGCCAGTGTCCATTCACTCAGTGGCAGCAATCCTCTGTGTCCTGTGGTGTACTCCAAGAAAAGGAATTAAAAATAATCCTAATATGTTATTTATTTTCATGTAATGCCTAAATAGAAAACCCTGAACTATTCACATAAGTTATTGCTCCCAATGGAACTTACAGTTCAATATCAATATTGCAATATGGCCAGTTTCAGCTTGGAAACAAGGAAGAGAAAGTGTGGAAGCAATTGGGATTTGAAAAGTAACTAAAATTATCAAGTTCGGTTTTAAAGTACAGATATTTTAACCTCTTCCCGTCCGGCCTATGGCCAAATGGTGGCCGGCAAAAACTCTCACCTTTTCCAGGTGGATGCCATATGGCGTCCTTTCGGGTTTGCGTGCCTGCAGAGCCGCGCAGCGGCGCGATCTGTCACCAACCGTGTATCTCAGACACGGCCAATGACAGATCTGAGTACCGGCCCCATTGCCGGTACCATGTGACCTGCTGTGACCAATCACAGGTCACGTGACAGTTGTATTAAAAAAAAAAATACTGCTCACTTCCCCAAAGTAGTACAATGTTATTACTATGGTAACATTGTACTACTTTGGTCATAGTGAAATATGAAAAAAAATCTTAAAAAGAAAAATTTTTTTTAAAAATTTATATTTTTTTTCATACTGTCACCAGTCAGTGTCCCTGATCACTGCCATGCCAGTTATATGATGATGCTGTACTACACTGGTGACAGTATGTAAAAAAAAATAGTGAAAATAATTTTTTTAATTATCCGAAAAATTATGACAAAAAAAAATACAACTTCAAAAAACTCGCCATGCCTCTTATGAAGTACGTCGGACTGTCTACTCTGCAAAAAGGGGTCATTTGGAGGATATCTGTACTGTTCTGACATTCTTGAACCTCAAGAAAATAGATTGGCTGTCAGTACTTCAGGATTGATCAATATTCAGATATATCCCAATATTCAGATATATCCAAACTAAAGAATACATCCTAATTTGGGTTATTTTCACCAAAGACATGTAGCAGAATTCATCTTGGCCTAAATTTATGAAGAACAATTATTTATTTGCAAACTTTTATAACAGAAACAAAGAAAAACTTGTTTTTGTTTTTTTTTTTTTTCAAAATTTTCGGTCTTTTTTTGTTAATTTTGCAAAAAATAAAAATCCCGGCGGTGACTAAATACCCCCAAAATAAAGCTCTAGTTGTGTTAAGAAAATTATAAAATTTTAGTTTGGGTACAATGTTGTATGATCGTGCAATTGTCATTCAAAGTGTGACGGCGCTGAAGCCTGAAAATTGGCCTGGGCAGGAAGGGGGTAAAAGTGCCCTGTGTGGAAGAGGTTAAACACCTAGGGAGGAATAATAAGTTTCTGAGACAAGTTCTGTCTCAGTGATGCTGTTGGCCAAAGCAACCAATTGGCTTCTAGCTTTCATGCTTTCTACACAGCTTAAAATGTGAGTAAATATTATATATTTTTCCTTTTGCAAACATTCTCCATTTTCCTTCTAATGATTTATAAAAATTCCCTAATCATTTTTCATAAATTTTCCTAACCTGATCCCTTATCTTTTTCTAGATGCGGAATGAATTTACCATCACTCACGTCATTGTGCCTAAACAGTGTGGTGGTCCCGATTATTGTAACACTGAGAACGAGGAAGACCTGTTCTTGATTCAGGACCAGCATGGGCTTATAACACTGGGATGGATACATGTATGTCACCATACAAAAGCTTTCTGCCTCTACTCTGCTGTGTTTTGGGGTTTTGTAATTCTTAGTCTGATATCCACAGTACAGACCCACAAACCATGAACTGAATCCCTTACTACTGTTTCCTGCCCTTATCACACAAAAATCAAGGAAATTTTAAATTAAAAGGTTTAAGGGGGATAAGCGACACATAATTACCCTTTACTTATTAAGAGAGCAGTTTAAATTAAAATAACATGGGCTTAATTTACAAAGCTTTAACACAAAGATAAGAATCTTTATTTCAGCCATGTGACTGAACTTTTTAAATCTCATTTGAATGGGTTAAAAATTTTGGAAAATAAAGATTTGTATACTAAAGTCTCAGTTTGGCAAAATGTGTATCATCAGTATTAGAGAGTTGTTGTTTGTACATTACTTGAAAACACCCAGTTGAGATCTCTACTACTTGTCTGGCATTCGAAGCTGTTTCAAATCTCTGCATAGCAGATAGATATATCAGTGTAACAAGTCACAAGCTAAGTATAAGTTTGTGTTTTTTTTTTTTTTTTTTTTAATGTAATCACAAGCAATCCATAGATGTATTCAGTACAATGATTACAAAAGTACAAAAAAACACAATACACTTCTGAAACACTGAGAGCGACTTATAACAATAAAATATTAAAGAGACAAAAACTGACAAACATTATTTCATCTGGGTATTTAAGAAAAACTTCCCTCTCCTAAAATCTGTAGGTTTTTTCATAGGTGATTCAGTAATGCGTAATGTCACAATAAAATGGAAAACAGATACTGCATTCCACTAGGCACAACAGTGTTCCCTGCTGCAAGCTATTGTGTGCACCCTGCAGTGTCCCATGGAGTTCTTTATGCCTAATACTGCAGTGTGTTTGAGAGACTGCTCACATGACTTGACAGATCACCTCATCGGGCACATCACCTGGCTTACTTATGCCCAGGAATTATTTTTTTTTTTTTGTAAGTAGCCAGGTAGGTATGCCCACTGTAAGGCTGTGTACCACTGTTTTGTAAATTGAGCCCTTTAGTCTTTGGATGTGTTGTCTGTTAACTAAAGGGCACCTGTTATGACAGAAATTTGGTAGCTGCTATCAGTTACTTGTTCATTTCCTAAAGTGTAGGTGCCAGGGCCGGCATCCATAATCTTGTTTCAGGACATGCTCAGTCAGACTAGAATAAGTACCATATATCTGTTCCAGTTCAGGGACTTGCCAATTCACATCATGGAGCTGGAGAGAGAGGCTTAAGAAACATGTTCATTTCCCGGAGTTCTGCTTTAAAGGGATTAAACATTGAAAAATGTGCATGTATTGCAGAGATGTACAAAACATGTTATGTAGAGGCCTGGAAACTAAAACTTAACCATGCCTGCTAAATCTGTCTGACTAGTCAATTTAACAGTTCAATTGATTTTTTTTCCACAGACCCACCCAACACAGACTGCCTTCCTGTCCAGTGTGGACCTGCACACTCATTGCTCCTATCAGATGATGCTTCCAGAGTCCATTGCCATTGTCTGCTCTCCAAAATTCAATGAGTGGGTACCACTTTTAAATTAGCATTTTATTTTACTAGCCTGTCACTGTCATGGGAGGCATTCAGCAAACTAACACAAGGCTCAATTAATTTCAGCATGAAATAAACATTGGATAACCTTTCGGTTCAATACATACTCTCCAAGGGGTCTATGTATAGAACTTTCTTTTCTTTCATTTAGAATGAAAACGGCAGTATTTTCCCTGAGATGTAGTTCCTATATTGTCTTCGCCACCTTCCCACCCAGGAGTCCCTTTAAACCCACGGGGTGGAGGGCAGAGGACTGGCTGAACATATGATTACTGTGATTCACTGTCACGGTGGTCACATGATTGGGAGCTAGTCCCATCTAATTTACCATGTCAGGCAATTTTTAAACTACGTAGTTGGAGGGTCATCCAAAGTATATCCAGTCAGCTAGAGCCTCGCACTACACTTTTGGTACATATTATTGATCTGATCAGCCTTTTTAATCTGGCTTGCGTGTAGCTAGTATTGGTCTTTTTTCCTAGAGGCTTACAGTACTATCAGGGCACCATTATAATGGAACTAAACTCCTGGAAATACTCCCCTCCACCTTCCAGCAATGCAACAGTTGCACCCCATATTTGGCTGCTTTGATCTTCTCCTTTTCTGGGTTTTTGGCCATGTCTCCTCTGCAATAAAGAGCTTCCTGCTCGCAGTCTTTTACAAATTAGGGGTGGTTCCTGTTTAAATGCACTCGGTGAATATTTTTCAAAGTAGCTTCTTCTTTCTTCTTCTTCTTTTTAGTTTTGGGATAGACTGGGGAAGAGTGAGAAGGGTTTAGCAACCCTGCAATCTGTTTTTTTTTTTTTTTTTTTTTCCTTTTGCATTGGTAAAGAGAGAGGAAATCTGCTTCCACAGGGCCCCAATGTTGATAAAATCCTTATAGCAGTTCTGATCTTTTCCTATTCAACTCCAGTTAAACCTTTTTCGTTGCCATTCTGGAATGAACAAAAATACATTCTGAAAATCTGAATTTACAATTTTTTTATTTAATTAGTATTAATAAAATACCAGGAATAAGGAGAGCTTAAAGGGACCCAGGCAGAAACAGAAAATAGTGGGGGTTTTCTTCTGCTATTCTTACTACGCAGTATATACTGAAACTTGTTGAATATTGAGGATCATGAAGTCATAATAAACAGGCATTATGTGAACTAATCCTAGACAACTCCCTGTTCCTGCATGACTTATACTGCTGTATTTTTCTGCCCGCTTCACCTTTCCTGTCATTGAGTTTGTCAGTATTATGTATAATCTCTGAATACCGCTGTGGTCAGAATAACCGGATGCAAATATAGAGACCGAGAGGAGTGAAGAACTGTGATGCACTTATTCATGGATGTGATGTTAAACCTCTTGGCTCCTAAGACACCTTTCATATTTTGCCTACACATCCTTTCATTGAGTTCACTTCCACACTGCCCTTGATTCATGTATTCTGGCACTGCACAACTGTTCATATGAAGATGCTGATTCATGTTTGATTTTTCTAGAACGGGCATTTTCAGGCTAACAGACTATGGCATGAAGGAGGTTGGTGAATGTCGACAGAAAGGATTCCATCCACACTGTAAAGACCCTCCCCTATTTTGTGTAAGTGTTCCCTGAATAAATGATGCAGCTGTAGACCATTGCCTGAGTCTACCAGCTTGGCTTATTGCATTGGTTTAGTTTGTCGGGATAGAATCCCAATTTATGTGGATGCAATTGTTTTCTTGTCTTATATCTGCATGCAATCTACAATCTGTCCACTAGGTGACACTATGTTAGCTGAGCATCAGGCTATTTTTAAATGTTAATGTGTTACTAAACCCACAACAGTAAAATCAGTCTGTATATGCAGTAAAGCATGCTTGTTATACTCGCTGTGGAACCTAAGGGGTTTATCCTCTGCATTGTGTAAAAATGCTGTTTGATCCTGACTTCTTCCTGTGTCGTCCTCATCTCCTGATGTGACACATCATGTGGAGACACTCTGCACATGCTCAGTTTAGTGTGTATTGCTAGAGAGGTTTTTGGGGGTTTTTTTCATGGGAGAGTGGCCCTGTGCTGATCACATGCAAATGTAAATATAAATATATAGATATAAACATAGAAGTACAAAGAAATCAATATTAAAAACCATATAATGGTGATATAGTAAAAACCTGTATACCTGGCAAACAAAATCTGTTGAAAGCTATAATTTATATTGAAAACAACAACATACTACCACAGTGCCTCAATGATCTGGGCCTATATCATGTGCAGAAATGCCATGGTGTGTGTGAAATGGAATGGATCTGTGTGTACCTACATTGGGAAAATGACAAAATGGCGCCGGAACACACACCATAATGGTTGTGCACTCCAAAGGCCGGAGGTGACTAACCGGAAGTACATCATGATGACGCCACATCCAGTGCTACCATAAATAGACCGCTGGAGTGCACCAGGGCGATCGTGCGCTTCCTAGATGAAACCGGAAATGCGTCATAACGACGCTATGTCCGGTGTGGACTTGGTATGCTGGAGCACATTAATAATTGTTGTAAAAGAGAAGGGGGCTAAAAGAAAATGTCAAAAGAATGGTGAAATGGGAAATCAGTGGTTCAATGAAAAGATGAAAAATAATAATAAATTTAAAAAAAAATGTTGCCTATTACAATATTTTCAACCTCCTCTTATAGGATGAAATCAGGCCACACTATCAGCATTTAGCTGTCAATATTTATTTATGTCATCCTATCATTGTTATACATTTGCCTGGCTTAAATTTTTCCTTTTTTTTTTTTTTTTTTTTTTTCATTATTATTTTTATTTTATTATTTTTCATCTCTTTTTTTCATATATACATTTTTCATCTTTTCATTGTACCACTGATTTTCCCATTTCACCATTCTTTTGACATTTTCTTTTTAGCCCTCTTCTTCTCTCTTACAACAATTATTAATGTGCTCCAGCATACCAAGTCCACACTGGACATGGCGTTGTTATGACGCATTTCCAGTTTCATCTAGGAAGCGCACAATTGCCCTATTGCGCTCCAGCGGTCTTATTTTTGGTAGCACCGGATGTGGCATCCTCATGACGCACTTCCGGTTAGTCACATCCGGCCGTTAGAGGGCACAACCATTATGGCGTGCGATCCGGTGGCCATTTTGTCATTTTCCCAGTTTTCCCAATGTAGGTACATACAGATCCACTCCGTTTCTCACACACACCATGGCATGTTTGCACATGATATAGGTCCAGATCTGTGGTAGCATGGTGTTGTTTTCAATATAATTTAAAGCTTTCAACAGATTTTATTTAATGGTTTGTCAGGTATGCAGGTTTTTACTATATCACCATTCTATGGTTTTTAATATTGATTTATTTGTACTTATGTGTTTTATACATTTATATTTACATTTGCACCATTTACAGTCAGGTCCATAAATATTGGGACATCAAACAATTCTAACATTTTTGGCTCTATACACCACCACAATGGATTTTAAATGAAACGAACAAGATGTGCTTTAACTGCAGACTGTCCGCTTTAATTTGAGGGTATTTACATCCAAATCAGGTGAACGGTGTAGGAATTACAACAGTTTGCATATGTGCCTCCCACTTGTTAAGGGACCAAAAGTAATGGGACAGAATAATAATCATAAATCAAACTTTCACTTTTTAATACTTGGTTGCAAATCCTTTGCAGTCAATTACAGCCTGAAGTCTGGAATGCATAGACATCACCAGACGCTGGGTTTCATCCCTGGTGATGCTCTGCCAGGCCTCTACTGTAACTGTCTTCAGTTCCTGCTTTGTTCTTGGGGCATTTTCCCTTCAGTTTTGTCTTCAGCAAGTGAAATGCATGCTCAATCGAATTCAGGTCAGGTGATTGACTTGGCCATTGCATAACATTCCACTTCTTTCCCTTAAAAAACTATTTGGTTGCTTTTGTTGTATGCTTTGGGTCATTGTCCATCTGCACTGTGAAGCGGCGTCCAATGAGTTCTGAAGCATTTGGCTGAATATGAGCAGATAATATTGCCCGAAACACTTCAGAATTCATCCTGCTGCTTTTGTCAGCAGTCACATCATCAATAAATACAAGAGAACCAGTTCCATTGGCAGCCATACATGCCCACGCCATGACACTACCACCACCATGCTTCACTGATGAGGTGGTATGCTTAGGATCATGAGCAGTTCCTTTCCTTCTCCATACTCTTCTCTTCCCATCACTCTGGTACAAGTTGATCTTGGTCTCATCTGTCCATAGGATGTTGTTCCAGAACTGTGAAGGCTTTTTTAGATGTCGTTTGGCAAACTCTAATCTGGCCTTCCTGTTTTTGAGGCTCACCAATGGTTTACATCTTGTGGTGAACCCTCTGTATTCACTCTGGTGAAGTCTTCTCTTGATTGTTGACTTTGACACACATACACCTACCTCCTAGAGAGTGTTCTTGATCTGGCCAACTGTTGTGAAGGGTGTTTTCTTCACCAGGGAAAGAATTCTTCGGTCATCCACCACAGTTGTTTTCCGTGGTCTTCTGGGTCTTTTGGTGTTGCTGAGCTCACCGGTGCGTTCCTTCTTTTTAAGAATGTTCCAAACAGTTGTTTTGGCCACGCCTAATGTTTTTGCTATCTCTTTGATGGTTTATTTTGTTTTTTCAGCCTAATGATGGCTTGCTTCACTGATAGTGACAGCTCTTTGGATCTCATCTTGAGAGTTGACAGCAACAGATTCCAAATGCAAATAGCACACTTGAAATGAACTCTGGACCTTTTATCTGCTCATTGTAATTGGGATAATGAGGGAATAACACACACCTGGCCATGGAACAGCTGAGAAGCCAATTGTCCCATTACTTTTGGTCCCTTAACAAGTGGAAGGCACATATGCAAACTGTTGTAACTCCTACACCGTTCACCTGATTTGGATGTAAATACCCTCAAATTAAAGCTGACAGTCTGCAGTTAAAGCACATCTTGTAAGGTTTCATTTAAAATCCATTGTGGTGGTGTACAGAGCCAGAAATGTTAGAACTGTGTCGATGTATCAATATTTATGGACCTGACTGTATATATTCTCTGCATACGTTGCTTCAACTAACTCCCATGATCCCCTCCTCCTCTGAGTTTGAGGGGAGGGGCTTCGTTATAGGCATTACTGGTTACATATAAAGTAAGGCTCCAACCCAGGTTGGTCATAGCTTGGAGGAAAAGGATTCGTCCCGAAACATGTCAGCAGGCCGACTGCACCACCAGTTGGACACTGCCATCCTTGCAGCCATCTCTGTGGCCTTATAGGCTTTATATATGTGATATGTTTGAGTATGTCTTCTGTCTTTTTACACTTTTTAATAAATCTTGGATAAAGCGCTAGGTGTTTGCACCACCTGTATGCTTTCTTCAAGGTCATGCTGGGCATGCTCTAGTCTGTGACTGGACCTTGAAAGGAGAAGCAGCACAGTGATGAGCTCATCGGTCATGTCACTCTGCTTACCCTTCCTGTTTAGCATGCTTCCTGTAAGCACATTAACTAATTAGCTCCTTGTTCGGACCCTTCCCCTCCCACTCCAGTTGTGCTGTGCAGGGACTGCTTGCATCTAGAAATACATTTAATGATGTATAAATCATTAGAGCTGGAATAATTTGTGTGTATCCTCCTAGTGTTCAGTTTTTTTAACATTTTCCACCATAATATATCTCTCTCTACAGGCCACCAGTCATACTACAATCTGTGACCAGGATGTCGTCGTCATGGACCTGCGATAACTTCTGCAAGATGTATGCCAAATAACACTCCTTTTCACACTGTAACTCCTGACTTGCCAGATTGCCATTAAATTCTGTAAAGAGCAATTTGTAGGGATGAACTGTACTAGAAGAGACAATTTATTTGTCTGCACTATGGAGATTGTGGCCATTCAGAACTAGCTTCTGCTTCCTAGAATGCTCTCCCGACTTCATAAAGTAGAAATGGCTTTACTACGTGTTCTGGGCTGCACAGTAACTATGAAACCAGCTTGCATCACTAATAGGCCTATTTAATATTAAGGTACAAAGACCAGTGGTATGCAGAAGGCATCATCCAGCACCTTTTAAATTATACAAATCATTGGAAGCTTGTTTCTTTTTGGTTGCTGTGGGGTGCTGCTTTCTGTATATTGTTCTTTGAGTTTATTAAATAAAGCCCAAGGCGCTTGGTTGAATTTTATTTTTCTCTTTAAACATAACAGCATATGACTCATTTTGGTGCTACAGTTTGCAATGAGTTCCTTTTTTCATAGTAATTTTGGGGCTGTTGATGATTCCACTGAATTATACAAATTGTTTTTATACCCTGGCTTCAATTGACTTTCAAGCAAGAGCTTTGATTTCAAGCTGTCGTCATTCAAATGTCTGAGATGTTATTTTATTAATAGAAAATTTGTACATACTTTAATTTATTTGATCCCTTTCCTAAAAAAAAATACCAGAATATATATCTGTTGATAAAAAAGAAAAAAAAATAATAATACTGTATAACATTTATTTTCTAGCAGCAGTAAATATTTTCAATGCTCCTTGAGTGTGTTTAGTGTTTGAATTATTGTCACTTGTCACATAACTTGCATTGATGGATGTGGTGTTGGAGAGTGTCCAGCTAGAGACTAAATGACAAGGTTGAGGACAGGTTTCCCATTTGCCTAGAAGGAAACAGACCGAAGTTAGCTGTAGCAGCCAGATTTTAGTTTCACATGTTTCTGGTACATTATGACTCAGGATAAAGAATATTTAAAGCCTAACTTCAGCTTCAAATACATTTTTATTATTCTCAAATGACAACCTGCATACTCTAAATCCTGCAGTATTTGGTCCGTTCACATATCGTTGCAGGTTCTGAAGGCTGCAAGGATGGCTACGCATAATGATGTGGCCCCATTTTTTGCAGAACTATGACATATCCACAGGAAGTTGGTTGGATAAAGGTGGGCATATTTCAACCTGGATGAGAACGGGTACTGTATTGCGGAGCTTTGAGTCTATAGGTGTTTGGTGAGTATTTCAGTGGGGAATGGTTGTTTATTTTAACCCTCGCAGGACAACTCATTTTTTTAATCTCATTTTATTTAAAAGAAAAAAAAAATTATCTCCACGTTACTCTGTAAGTGAAAAAAATCTGGCACGCACGACAGATGAGCAAGAAAAAATGTAGTGAACAAAATACAACTCAAAATCATTGGACATTGAACAATTCTAAAAACATACAGCATATAGGAAAGCATAGTGGCAATCAGTACAGCAATGGCCAGAAATCCCAGCTGTCAAGCAATAGAGGGGCACATCACATAGATCCATTGGGACCACATAGCTACAAATTTATTAAATGTGTTTTGCAAGTACTATAAGTTTTTCAACATGGACAGGTTAGTAGATATCTACTTCAGGGCTACAAGAGTGATCTTGTAACTACAAGGGTCATGTAGCCGTCCATAGAGGTCATAGAGTTATAATAACCTAGTATACAGGTGAGGGGGTTGGAGTCCAATTTGACACCAAAGAGGTTATTCTAGGTTGTAATTACTCCTTCCCAATACCTCTTCAAATTAGGACAGTGTTGTAAGCGGTGAATGAGATTGCCCTGTGGTTACTGCTAGAGATGAGCGAATTATTTAAAAAATTCGGTTCGGCTGATTCGCCGAATTCGCCGATTAAATTTGCTTCGTGCCGAATATATTCGCTGCGAATTTAACTTATAAAAAGGGTGTTTCTAGGCTTCAGAGAGCCTTTATATTAGTGCAGAACACTGTACCTTTAATTTAAATGCCCTTGGAGTCTGCTGGGGAAGAGAAATAATACTGTCAGTCAGTATGACATGCAGATGAGTGCCGTCGATCTTAGAATCACCGCACACTTCACTCATTTGGGCAGTCACGGGGCCAAAACCAGAGTGTGGAGCCACAGTGTGGCGGTGGAGGCAGCAGCAATGGGAGGCCATACAGCACCCTATGACAAAATGGAACCCACCAGCAGTGTGAGGAGACCTGAAAGTGGCACATGGCAGAGTGTGGCGATGGAGACAGCAGCAATGGGAGGCCGTACAGGGACCCATGACACACTCTGGACCTGGCAGCAGCATGAGGAGGCGGTACAGGGGCCCATGGCAGATTACGGGCCTGGCAGCAGCATGAGGAGGCGGTACAGGGGCCCATGGCAGAGTGGCGGAGCGTAAGCAGCTAAAATTGAAGGCCATACAGAGGCCTATGTTAAAAAGTCCCCTCCAGCAGCAGCGTGGGGAGACGACTATCAAGAGTCCAATGGCAGAGTGGCGGAGCAGAAGCAGCTTCAATTGAAGGCCATACACAGGCCTAGGTTAAAAAGCGGAAGCCGTCAGCAGCGTGAGCAGACGACAGAGACACATGGCGCAGGGTGGCGGTGGATGCAGCAGTATTCGGAAGCCAAACACAGGCCTCGGTTAAAAAGCGGAAGCCGTCAGCAGCGTGAGCAGACGACAGAGGCACATGGCGCAGGGTGGCGGTGGAGGCAGCAGCAATGGAAGGCCATACAGCACCCTATCACAAAATGGAACCCACCAACAGTGTAAGGAGACCTGAAAGTGGCACATGGCGCAGGGTGGCGGTGGAGGCAGCAGTATTCGGAAGACATACACAGGACTAGTTTAAAAAGCGGAAGCCGTCAGCAGCGTGAGCAGACGACAGAGGCGCAGGGTGGCGGTGGAGGCAGCAGTATTCGGAAGCCATACACAGGCCTAGGTTAAAAAGCGGAAGCCGTCAGCAGCGTGAGCAGACGACAGAGACACATGGCGCAGGGTGGCGGTGGATGCAGCAGTATTCGGAAGCCAAACACAGGCCTCGGTTAAAAAGCGGAAGCCGTCAGCAGCGTGAGCAGACGACAGAGGCACATGGCGCAGGGTGGCGGTGGAGGGCAGCAATGGAAGGCCATACAGCACCCTATCACGGAGACCTGAAAGTGGCACATGGCGCAGGGTGGCGGTGGAGGCAGCAGTATTCGGAAGCCATACACAGGCCTAGGTTTAAAACTGGAACCCAGCAGCGTGAGCAGACGACAAAGACGCACATGGCAGAGGATGGATCTGGCAGCAGTATGAGAAGGCGGTACAGGGGCCCGTGGCACAGTGTGGTGATGGGGGCTACAGCAACTGGATGCCAGAAAGTGGCCGATAGGGCTATATACTGCATGACTACATAGGTGGTTTTTATAGTACTTTATTTTGGCCTCCCTCTCAGCAGGTGTGAAAAAGGCCACCATTTTTGAACGGTAGCGAGGGTCCAACAAGGTGGACAGCCAAAAGTCATCCCTCTGTCTGATGGTTATTATTCGGCTGTCGCTACGCAAGCAACCGAGCATGCTATGGGCCATTTGTGCCAAGGAATGCGAGGGACTCCCTGCCTCCATCTCCACAGCATACTGCCACGGTGCGTCCGGGTCCTCTGTCTCCTCCTCCTCTACCAGATGCTCCTGCTCCTCCACTCCTGTCCGCTGAGTGGAAAAACCACCCATTTCACTCAATAATTCCTGAGCACCAATGTCCTCCTCTACCTCCTCCTCTTCTTCCTGTCCTGCCCCCACAGGGGTCATGTGGCGTTGAGATCTGTGCGCCACGTCTACCGCACCCTGACCAGCCATTGTTAACAGCATTTGTTCCAGGACGTGCAACAGAGGAATGACGTCGTTCATCCCATAGTCCTGCCGACTCACGAATAGCGTGGCCTCCTCAAAGGGCCTGAGCAAGCGGCAGGTGTCACGCATGAGCTGCCAATGGCTGACATCTAAGTTACACAGGGGAGTACCTTTATCCGCTTGTAACATCAGGAAATCGGTGATGGCCTTTCGCTGTTCGTAAAGGCGGTCTAACATGTGTAGGTTGAATTCCACCTTGTTGCAACGTCGCAGATCAGGCGATGCTGTGGAATTCCGTTCTGCCGCTGCAGCTCAAGGAGGGTGTGCTTTGCGGTGTAGGAATGGCTGAAATGCATGCAAAGTTTACGTGACATTTTAAGGATGTCTTGCAGTGGGATGGTGGATTTTAGGAACCGCTTGACAACCAGATTGAACACGTGAGCCATGCATGGCGCATGGCACATGGCACAACCTTCCTTGACGCAGAGCAGACACCATGTTCTTTCCGTTGTCGGTCAACATGGTTCCGATTTTCAGTTTGCGCGGAGACAGCCATCTGTCGATTTCTCTGTTCATTACACTCAGAAGTTCCTCCCCTGTGTGACTACGTTCGCCAAGGCATACCAGGTGCAGCACAGCGTGACACCGTTGCGCCCTGCACATGTGATATGCCGGTCGGGTAATGGGACTTGGCACGGGGGTGGCGGCTGAGGACACGGCGAAAGAAGAGGTGGTAGAGGCGGACATCTTTGCTGGACCAAGGACGTGCAAACGTGGAGGCAAAAGCGGCGTGACCTGTCCAAGTTGCTGGTGCGGCTGTGCCGGCACCACGTTCACCCAGTGGGCCGTAAATGAAATGTACTGTCCCTGACCGTAGTTACAGCTCCACACGTCGGCGCTGCCGTGCACTTTGGCAGAGACCGACATGCTCAAAGACTGGCCCACCATCTCTTCTACATGTGAATGCAGGGCTGGCACTGCCTTTTTGGCGAAGAAATGCCGGCTTGGCACTCTCCACCGCGGCTCGGCACAAGCCATCATTTCTCGGAAAGGTGCTGAGTCCACCACTTGGAAAGGGAGGGACTGCAGCACCAGCAACTTGGACAGGAGGACGTTCAGCTTCTGCACCGTCGGGTGCGTGCTCGCAAACTGTTGTCTCTTGGAAACGGATTCCAAGAAAGACTGCTGACGGAATCCGTGAAGAGGAGTAGCAGGAGAAGGAGCATCTGAACGAGCGGAAGATGCCAACGAGCGACAACTCCCCTCAGCAGAGGTGTTGGAGCCTTGACTGGCTGATAGAGGGCGATTGACGTCGGGTGACGGAGCAAGTAACGGAGCGGGTGATGGAGCGGGGGCTGGGGCAGGCAGAACCGCCGTATCTTTATCACGGTTTTCCCAGGCCACCAAATGGCGACGCTGCATATGCTGACGCAACGCTGTAGTCCCAACATTGGCCCCCTGGCCACGCTTGACTTTCTGGCCACATAGTCGACATACGGCTACGTTTACTTCCTCGGGGGCGGCGTGACGAAAAATTGCCACACCGCCGAGTAGGAAACTTTGCCCCCGCTACTCCTCACTGGCTGACTGCTACTTCCTCCGTGCACACCGGCACCACTACTGGCCGTGGTGGTAGGCTGCAGTGGAGCTGGTGCTCTACTCCGTGGCCGTTTGGCTCCACTGACACTGCTGCGACCCTGCTGCCTCCTGGGCAACCCACCGACTGTTTTGCTCGCTGGAAAGCTGGCACCCTCTTCTCCTGATGATGCGGAAGCAATAGCCTGATGACGACGAGGCTGCCAAGTGCGATCAGCCTCATCATCATCAATTAGGGTCTCCGCGTCACTACTAGCCCCCTCGGCTGCGTGTGGGTCAGGAGACAGACCTGTCTCTAGACCGGCTACCGAGCCACTCTCCTCGCCAGTACTTCTTCGCCTGGCTGCTGAAGAGGCGGATGTCTCCCCCCGTTCCTGACCGCCCTCTGTTAGCTCTTCCTCACTTTACAGTGGGGCTGAGCCCACAGCATGCGATACTTCGCTTGGTGAGGGAACACCAAAGGACAGGGGCAGGTCGAGGACACGTGATTTCAGTGGGCTTGCTCCGGGCCATGCCAACTAACGGTTGTGTCTGACGTACCCACCGACCGTTGGCTGTAGGTGTCAGAGGTGACCTGGGAAGAGGAAGACGACCGAGTCAACCAATCGATGACGGCAGGGTTGTCGGTGGAGACACGACCGCTGGATGACACCGGGAGCACTGGCCTCTGGCTGCGACTAGTGCTGCCTCGACCCCTTCCTCTGCTGCCACGTCTGCTCGCTCCTGAAACATTGCCTCCTCTGCCACTCCTCTGCGTGTTGTCTGACATACTCTTTAATTCAATAAGCACCCCAAAAATAAAACCGGATTTAACTCTTTGAACGTACAATAGTGGTTGTGAAGCAGAAAGTCAGTTTATTTAGCACAATCGGTCAATTGCAGCTTGCCGTTGGCTGGAAACTGTACGTTTATGTCACTGGAATGCACTAATCACCCAAAAAATATTACCGCCACCCGGCGTGTAAATGGATTTAACTCTTTGAACGTACAATAGTGGTTGTGAAGCAGAAAGTCAGTTTATTTTGCACAATCGGCAAACTGCAGCACCAACTGTGCACGACAGCCACCAAAAAAAAAAAGGGTGTATGTCACTTTAAATTTTCGATTCTTTGATAGCTGTGTCCCTGAGTAACGATTCTGTGTCCCTGAGTAACGATTCTGTGTCCCTGAGTAACGATTCTGTGCCCTAAAGTCTCTGTGGCCCTAACTCTGTCCTTTAATACAGACAGGTCTGTCTCTCTTGAATGACCGGAGGCTAATGGAGAATTCTAAGATGGCCGCGATTTATAGCTCCACCATTACACAGTGCTGGCTGGCTGCTGATTGGCTAATGCGATCACATGTCATGATTCATGACTCATGAATGCATTATGGGTCAGCGCGCCTTGTCTGCGCGCCTTCCCAGAGATCCCCGCCCCATCTTCTCTGTCCATTTTCTCCTGTCGCCACACATGTCGCCGCCATTTTTGGGAAAATTCGATTCGTGCATCCGAAGTTTGCTAATCTTCGGATTCGTCGCGAATCGAATTTTTCCAAATCTTCGGAACGAATTCCACTTCGTCATGTTCGATTCGCTCATCTCTAGTTACTGCATCTGTTTCAGTGGGGGTCAGCCAGTATTCTAATCTTGTGAAGGAATTCGGGTGTGTGATGCACACTGTGGAGAATGAAGAGTTGGGCCAACTTATGTGAGGGGGGTGACACTAATTGTGGAGATTGCAGGACACCATCCAAAACCTCCTCTGAGATGGGGCCTAGGTCCTCTTTCTGTCTCTGCTTGTAGGGTAGGGTCAAGCTAAGCCAAAATGTATCAAACAGCTGTATACACACTCACTGGCCACATTATTGGGTATACCTTGCTAGTACCCGGTTGGACCCCCTTTTGCCTTCAAACCTGCCTTAATTCTTTGTGGTATAAATTCAACAAGGTGTTGGAACCATTTCTCAGAGGTAACATCATGCAGTTGCAGATTTGTTGACTGCACATCCATGATGTAAATCTCCCACTCCACCACATCCCAAATGTGCTCTATTGGATTGAGATCTGGTGACTGTGGAGGCCATTGGAGTACAGTGAACTCATTGTCATGTTCAAGAAACCAGTTTGAGATGATTTGAGCTTTGTGATATGGTGCATTATCCTGCTGGAAGCAGCCATCAGAAGATGGGTACACTGTAGTCATAAAGGGATGGGCATGGTCAGCAACAATACTCAGGTAGGCCATGGCATTTAAACGATGCTCAGTTGGTACTAAGGGGCCCAAAACGTGCTAAGAAAATATTCCCCACACCATTACACCACCAGCCTGGACCGTTGATACAAGGCAGGATGGATCCATGCTTTCATGTTGTTTATGCCACATTCTGACCATTTGAATGTCGCAGCTGTAATGAGACTCATCAGACCAGGCAACAGTTTTCCAATCTTCTATTGCCTCAGATTTCCTGTTCTTTGCTAACAGGAGTGGCACCCGCTGTGGTCTTCTGCTGCTGCTGCTGTAGCCCATCTGCTTTAACGTTCAACATGTTGTGCAATCAGAGGTGGTATTCTGCATACCTTGGTGGTACCAAGTGGTTATTTAAGTTACTGTTGCCTATCATCTCAAACCAGTCTGCCCATTCTCCTCTGACATAAACAAGGCATTTTCATCCACACAACTGCCGCTCACTGGATATTTTCTCTTTTTCAGTCCATTCTCTGTAAAAACCTAGAGATGGTTGTGCATGAAAATCCAAGTAGATCAGCAGTTATTGAAATACTCAGACCAGCCCATCTGACACCAACACCCATGCCACGTTCAAAGTCACTTAAATCCCCTTTCTTCTCAATTTTGATGCTGTGTTTGAACTTCAGCAATTCGTCTTCACCGCGTCTAGATGCTTAAATGCATT